CATCAAGGAAATTTGACTTTGTCACATGGTCTCAGTCCAGACATTTTCAGAAATGTAAATGAACTGTAAATGATTTCCTGTTTCAATATTGAATAGGGAGTTGGAGTGAATCCAGAAAACAATGCCTTAAGTAGCCTTTTTATTCTTGCTTTGATAATGACAAAGAATGAAAACATTAGAAAAATTACAAATGAGGAGGCCGTTTTGCCTAACTTGCTTATTTGGTGGGTAGTACAGTACATGACTGATCCAAGGAACTTCTTGATTATGTTCAACAATTAAGCTAGGCAGTTTGTTCAAGTCCTCCAAAGCTCACTTGGTTACCACTTTACTGGCATGACTTGTTAGTTACCTTCTCAACAGTACCTTTCAGGATTTCAAGACTTTTAGCAAGTCAACTTATAGTTTCCTCAATTCTAGAATGAAGATTAGGTTACTTTTACCTGTCTGTGACAAACATTCTTGTAATGTGAAGAAAAAACCTTTTTGGCATTCTTTGAACTAATTCACAAGCAAATGTATCTTAAGTGTGAAACTATGAATTTTTTAAACAGTCAATTGAGTGCTATATGTCATGTACATATTTTAGTACTGGTTTGACGTAGCCATTATATTAAAAAGTTATTTTGCTTTAGTGGCGTCATGGGTTTAGTTTTATTGAGTGTCAGACAGATACAGTACGTCTGAAGCATATTATAAAGCATGGAGTGGAAAAGGAGCTGTATTTATCTGAAATTGAACCTGGGTGGGACAAATACAAAGGCTTTAATTAACAGTTTAAATTGTCAGTATTTCTTAAATGTGCTACAGCTTTACTACTCTCTACATAATAACTGTATGTGACTACTGTACTTGTTTTATTTACTCTCTGTGGTCTTATACTTTACCATTTGTTTTCTAGTTGTAAGACTATCTGCTATCATGGAGGGCAAGTTGTGAAGCTTTCTCAAAGAACACTTATATAAATATAAAAAACAGTGTTAACCAAAAGGGAATTTGCAACGGCAGTTGTGTATAAGCTCTTTCTCAGGCAATTCAATGCTTTTGTAGTGTGTGAACCCTGCAGCTGACCTCCAACTATGACTGAGGGTTCAGTGATAAAACAGCCCCCTTAGTTGGAAGTTGTCTTGTGAAGCGCTGGAGGAAGAGCCTGTCTGTTCCCAGAAAAATTACACTGAGGAAGTGGGTGAAAGGTCACTGGTGGCTTGCGTGGGCTGGAGCTCGGTGGGGGCAGCTTGCTAGAGACCAAACAAAACTCAGAAGGAAAGAGGAGGGGGATAGAGCAACCCACAGGAAGGTCTTTTTTACAGCACTTCAGAACATTGCTCAGATTGAGACATTTAGTTTGTCAATTTGGAGAATTCTCCAGGTGAAATGGGCTGCAGTGATCCTGAAGGCAGCGAGGGTGTGGTGTGTGTTGCGTCTTCAGCTGGCAGTGGAGAATGTGTTCTGAAGTAATGGGTGTGGAATGTACCTAAGAGTTGTAATTCTCTACATTCTTTCAGAAGACCATTGTGTATGTGCAACATGTCTTAAGGTTGCTTAATATGAATTTGTTCTTTCTCTTACTTATTTGTTGTGCTAACTGCTCCAGGAAAATGACTGAAACACTTTCCATAGCCATTAACCAGAATGTGAGCAGAAGGAACAGATTAGCTGGTTTCTGACATATTGCTAACTAAAATTTCTATAATGTCATCTACACTACTGTGTAAAAGTCTAAGAAATTATTTCTATTGTGTTCTATTGTGTGGATGTGTAAAGAGGATAAAAATGATGTGAGTGATGATGAGCACCAGCTAGTGACTCAAGTAGATTAGATGGATTAACTGTTGCAACACTTCATCGGCTTCTCATTCATAGTTTACCTTTTTATTGTGTTTAAGATAAAAAGGATTTTGCTAAGTGGGAAATCAAATGATTAGTTAATTACAAAATTGGGTTATTTTCAACTCAGCTGAAGTGTATTAATAACAGCTGGATTTGTTACAGTAGTAGAGAACAATAGTGAATGATTTGAGCAAATTGATGCTCATAACATGTTTTGCAATGTCTAAAATGTTTGCACAGCATTGTATAAAATACTTTCTATTTATCATTCTATCTATTCAGTTTTTTTATTGTTGCCAGATATGATTATCTAATATAGCAAATGGCAATCTATTCAGAGAGTGCAGCAAGGAAGCACATTAACAGGATGCATAAAAAATAATAGGGTGAGTAACCCATAACAAAATACAATAATAACTTGTTTCTAATAAGTAGGCTGTAAATGTACCCCGTATGTATTTTGCCTTTGTAGATATAATAGTTCTGTAGATGCTGTTTTTTACGTGGCTTCCAGCATGTTGTCAGTACATTGTAGAAGGGCATTTAAAAAATATCGCAGGAACAAATATAGCAGAAACCATGCACTGTAGAATATTTATATACAGTCAAAAATATTTAGATAATGTCATTATTTATAGTGAATTACTGGAATTTGTTTACTAGTTGTGTAAACAAGAACTATAATGCAATGGGCCCTACTGTATGTTATCTGATCATTTTCTGTTATGTTAGTTTAATAAAGAACTGGGTGTCAGCAGTAGAAAACATGCATTTTTAAAGCTTTCGTGAGGTAATTAAGCAATTTGAAAGTCTTTTAATTGCTCAACCATAACTATTTTTTAGTCATTACTTTAGCATGAGCCTGAGGCTTTGTAATGGGAAAACATTTTGTTTCATTAAGACAATTATGCCCTAGCAGCCAAGCTATGCAAAATTTAAAAATTGATGCTTTTATACTGCAGTAATACTATAGTTTCAAGCTGGTTGATTTTCACAAATCTTGACATTCATCAACAGTTTAAATCACCTTTTGATGATCACTATATTACACACTGATCTTGTAAGAGTCACACTTCACAAAGTGGCTACAACCTTCCAACATTTTAGTGAACTTGAATTTACCACCTTGTTTGTGGGATTTTTATATAGTTAAAGAGATCACGTATACTTTCAAGGTCTTTGGTACAGTGTATACCCACTGTTCACCTGAAACTACGACATTGTAGGGGAGCTGAGTGATGTCGTGACCCTGAAAAAACAATGCAAAGTTTTGTCATTGGAGCACAGGTGAGTGTGGAATGGACATGCAGATTTGTATGCTAATGGTGAGGTCCATTATGGTCTGGGCATGAGTTTCTAGTTGCTACAGGACTTCACTCGTAGTGTTAATTGGCAACCTGATTGCACAGCACAATGTTGGGGTTTTTTCTATCCTTTCTGGGAGTTCATCTTGACATCCACAGTCTGGTTGTGTAACAAGGCTTTCTGGCAAGGTGAGAGTTTGACCAAATGAAAATGTTTGTCCAAGTTTTATGAGATTAATTAGAATTTCAGAAGACTGCATCTGTAACCTATTGCAAAGCATACGTAACAGATGAACAATATGTGTTTCTTCTTATGCTGGCCTATCCTGTTAACAGCTGTAAATGAGGCTATGAATTGAATTTGCTTACGCTCTGTGTTTTTCAAGTTGTATTTTCCCTCAATAATAATTTATGAATTTTTGACAGTTGTAAGTGATAAGATGTTCAATTTATTATATTTTGTGCTGTAATTTCTGATCACAAGGGCTCCTGAAGGTCAAGGTGAGATCAATTCTAATCAACTGGCATAAATCTTGCAAATGTGATTTCGTCAAGGAAACATTATCTCATTTGTTTTACAGATTACAGGAAGCTGTTAAATCATGTTTTAAATATGCTCCACCACTAGACTTATGAGTTTCAAATCCTTTTCTCATTAAACCAAAGATAAGATAACACATCCCCTAGTCTGTTGGTAAAATTATGATGACAAGTGGTCAAATGCTACATTCTTTGCAAAACTATCACCATTAGTACAGAAGTAGATAGTGTCACATGTCATAAACTTCTAGATAAGCATTTTCCAGTACTTGATTTTTTTGGTCGATACCTTTTTGTAAGTGAAAAAACTAATGCTTTTACCACTTTGGCGATTTACCAGTGCTACCAAGTGTTCTTCATTCAACAGATTTATTTGTTCTTAATAATCAGTAGATTCACTGTAATTGTAAACTGTCATCAAAGCATTTTAAAAGCGAACATAAGTATTTGCAGAAAAGGTTAAAATATAACTTTTTACTTAAGTATATAAGCTTAATATAGTCAGAAGGAGCACGGAAAAACGTTTCCAAAATAACCACAGTATGTAACCGAATGCAAGACTTTGATGCTTAAAATGTTTAGGAAGAAAGTGGAATACTGGTGTGTATTTTTTATTTAAACTACCAATACTAGCCATTTTACATATTTTTTAACAGTTTACATAATGTTTATGTTCCTAAATTAGTATCGTTTATGAGCAATCTCCGGGAAACCATTATAGGCACGGTGAATTGGAGATTCTCAAAACTTACTTTGTATGATTGGAAACTAATACATGATCGGGTCAACGAAATTCTGTGGTGTTACTTTTTGTCAATGAAAAAAACTATTTTCGTGTTGCAACTGTTAAACTGATGCAGACAGTTACAAAGAAAGTGGACCACGGTAATACTTTGAGCTTACAGCCTGTCCAAGGTCATTAATTATTCATACTGTTAGCAATATTTTGATGCATAAAATATTTCTGCATAATTAAAATATTTATGATGAAGGTGGAAGGTTGTGTACTTTTGTCCAACTGAGAGGTTAAGCTTTATTAGCCCCAACTGGCGGTTTTACAAGGTGGTTCCAGATACTATTATCATAACTGCGGTATGATGCGCCATGCCTACCGCGTTTTACTGCAGCGTACTCCGTGCATTTTGAATGGCTACATCTGTATATTTCAAACTGTTTTCATGCAGAGACAAAAATTGTATAAAACTGTATATATAAATTTTTAGAAAAGCAAGGTTGTAGTATAATTTATGATGTGTGTTTGCTGATGCTCTTGATGCCCAAGAAGCAGCAAGAGAAATGTTGCAAATGTCTTTTATTTTATTGCAGGGTATGAGAGTTCTGGTTGATGCCCGTGACAAGCTGGGTATTGCCTGGCAGAACACGGAAAATGAGAAGCATGGCATGTTTGTCATGTCCTTCGAGAACAAAGCGGGAGTACCTGTGGAACCCTCAACCTTCCAGCTCTACGTCTTGGCCCTGCGGGCGCTGTGGCAGGATGCTGGCATCCAGGAGGCTTACGGGCGTCGAAGTGAATTCCAGCTGGTGAGTGTACTGCACAGTTAAGATCATGGATACAGAATGGAGTAAATCCCAGCGTTTAAAAAGGTTTTAAGTTTCCTTATGCCTTAGATCAGTCTCATTTATGTTCTTTTCTGAGTATCCTTATTGTTCTCTAACGTGTGAAAGTATACTTGGACAGACGAGTTCAAAAGGGCAAATCTGTGTGTGATGTCCTGTTCTCTATCCATTATGTGTCCTTCATTTTCCAGCTCTGGCTTTTTATTGATATTTTTTTAACCAAGATATACCAGTCATTAGATAGAAAAAGAAGTCATAGATTGATAAAAGGTTAAAAATGTGAACTTTGTTGAGAAAGAAAAAAAAACTTCAGCTGATAAATACATGTATTTTTAAAAAACATATCATTCTCAGATTTGAATTAATTGATCATTCATGTCTGAGCTTTATGTACTGTTAATACTTTGTTGCAAATTCTTTTCATGAGAGAAAAATTTGATTGAACACAGGTGATGACGTTTTTTGACCTGTTAAATGTCAAGCCTTGTGAACACTGAGACAAACAGTAATAATTCAATATTTCCTGCTTATCAAAAACGGTGCCTTTGTGCAGTCTTTCTGTTGAAGTGTACTCACTAACAGTTCATGAAGAACATTTATATTCTGAGGGGAATGGGACCGAAACCCACAATACATCTTCTGTAACCATGTGTAAAGATTATATTGCTGATCAAAAACTTGTATTGTTTCCAGTGTTAGGCATATGCTACTAGCATGTGCTTTACACAGCAAAACCCCTGTTGATTAACCCTCTTGATAACAAATATGAGCCAACATGATGAATTTATCCAGAGCAGCAGTTCTCAACCTCTGTGTCGTGATACTTTGTGTGCCTTCAGACATTAACAGGTGTGCCAGAGTTTTCAGTGTTGCATATGAAGAAATTTTAAAAAAATAATTGAATTTACAATATATACTTGTTTTGTGGTGTGAACAGTGTTGTCGTATATGTGATGCATACAGATAAGACAGAGGCCAAGTTATAAGACTTAATGTGTGACTGACTAACACCACAAGCAAAGCTTTTCAAGTTTGATGTATATAAAAAATGCAGTATATCTGATAGAAGTTGAGCAAGAGCTCCATGTTTCAGTTCCTGCCGGGATAAAACAACTATGCATTTTTCTGCAGAGTCAGATTAAACTTTGAAATAAGTCTTGTTTAGAATATTAATTATGTACTTGGGCCTGTGATGTGTGTTTGTTTGGGGAGGGAGCAGTGTGCCGAAAAATGTTTATATTTACGTCAGTGTACTGTGGAATGGAAAAGGTTGAGTAACACTGACCTTAAGTGTTAAAAGTATGCAGTTCCTTCCAGTGATTGAATTTGAACGGGCATTTTTTTAAAGTGCATATTTTTAATCAAAACATGAATTCTCTGATGACTTTAGGATTTAAATGTCGGAAAGAAAATGCAAAGAAAAATCTAAAATGCATAACTATTCTAAATCTTTAAAAAAACTAAAATGCATGAGTATTCAGCCCCTTTGCTATGGCAAGCCTAAATTAGCTCAGATGTAAAAAAACTACTGATAAATCAGAATGAGATGAATAGCTTCTATCTGTGTACAATAATAAGGGGTCACATGATTTCAGAATAAATACTCCTGTCTCTGTAATGTCCGTCAAGCAAACATTCATCCATGAAGACTAGGGATTAATATATCCTCTTACTGCACTTACTACAAAAATTGTCATTTTCCTGATAACTTCATTAATTTGTTGCATTTATAATTGGTTTATTTTGATGCTGTATATTTTAAAAACATGGGAAACGACACCGAGATTTAAACCGTTGAGACATATGACTCTGTTATCCATGGAAGTGTTCATATCTATGCAGAGTTTAGATCAGACTTGAAGCATATAAAGCCCAGCCTTGCTCTAATGTTTAATTTGCCAGTCTGGTGTGTGGGGCGTAAGTTAACGTGCATATCTCTATGGTTTAGCATCAAAATAGTTCTGATTAAATATTAATGAGTGTCACTTCTAAATTCTTGGTCAGTGGCAGAGACAATTAATAATTTAAAACAAGATCTGAGCTACTTTCATACTTTATACATTCATATCAGTACAGATATAGTCTTTGTTCCCATATTTGTTCATGTTCACTATATTTCTTATGTTTAGATAAACAAAACGAGCCCAAAATCCTGTTGATCAAATTCAGTGCTGACAGGCAAAATGTTTGCTTTTCATTTTTGACTGAGCTAAAATCAATGCAATGGAGTCCTTGTTACAGTGTAAAAGATTTTGAATGGTTCTTTGGGCCCTAAATAATTTCTATAACTGCTTAATAAGAAATTTAAAATAGGAACATTATTATTTCTTACAGGAAAAAGGTGATGAATCTAAAATTTCTTCACTTTTTATCCATTTATTAGAATGAAGATCTCGTAGTTTTAGCTGAATCAACAGATATAAAGAGATGCAGGTACCTTAAAAATCAGTGTTTCACTTCAGGATAAAAACATTGCTTGCTACTGATTGTACTTGCCAGTTATTCTAAAGTTTATATTCCATAAAGTATAAACAGTGTTGAATAACAATACCTAATGCATAAGAATTTCTGATTTCTCTCTAGGATTTAAAAATTGTTTTAAATAAGTATCTACAATACTTTGATTCTTCCTTTTTGATTAGTCATATTTTGGTAACTTAATATTGATATATCACAAGGATATTTTTGAGAAGGAATTCTTCTCCCTAGTTTTACTCAAAACTGTTATTGTTAATCAAAATGGGAGTTATCACTTATAGTGTGGGTGGGATGTTGGACCATTGCAGACTTTTCTCAGAAAAAGAAAAGTACTCAAGTTAATGCTATTAAGAGCCTTCTCTAACGTTATTTTCTGTTTGCTTTTGAAGTTTAAATTAGCAAATGTAGACTGGGATGTAAAAATCTGCCATTACATAAAATAAGATGTTTCCTCTATTTTACAGATTTTTTTGGTGTTTGACAACCATTATATCTCAGTGTCTGGTTAGCGCCTCCCACTTTAGTTAAGTAGACAGTGTAAGCAGAGGCATGTAAATTAAACTTCTTACATTGTGATTAGGCAAAACAAAAAATGTTTTTGATATTACTTATTATTATTAGTCTTTGCGAGCTAATGTATGAATTGTAGTTTAGGTTGATGTGTCTCTTTGGGTCAGTGCGATCACTCTACCAAGGTTGATCTTTCTTCTGCAAGGACATGATTACTTGGTCTTATCTGGCATGTTGTTATGCCTTATTTTAAGTCCAGATTTGCCAAAAACACCCTTCCTATCATCCTGTTGGGACGAAGCTCTTCGTGTAGCTTTACTTTCTGAGGTACAATTATCAGTAACTGAATGTTAAATCTTCACATTGAAACAATTTATCTCTTTCTGTTTATGTTAAACCTATTTTGAAAGGTTCTTTGAATTTTGTAAAAAAAATCAGTTATGACAGAACCTAAAAGGATCACCAGTATTTGTAGACAAGTTTGAGGAAGGTGTATTTACATCAACTTTTTTTCCCTGAGAAATTTGCAGGAAAGCTAATGTGTATCCTGTTTTAACAAGTGTACAAGACTTTGGCAGAAGCTAGTCATGGGATATTGTCCTTGTAATTCAGGTGAAATGGGACATTAGGAAAAGAAACTACCACATAAAAAACAGCATAAATTTCAATGAGTTATAATTCAGTTTCTCCCTCATTTGACTCATTAAATTAAATACATTTATTAACTTAGACTTATTCATTTTAAGAAGTATTATATTTGGTAAATTTGTAGGTATTCTCAAAGTTATAAAGTTCATAGACTATTTCATAGTGCTAGACTCTTATTGCCTTAGTGAAAGGCATTTTCAAAACAGTCCAGATACACTGACAAAATAAAACTTGCATCAGTACCCTGGGCCGAGAGCCCTGACTGACTAATTTTGCCCCCTCACCCACCACACACAGTGTGCACTGCTGACTTGGGGAGTCATGAGCACAGTTGGTCACAGGCATGACCCAGACTGTAATCTTGTAATTATAGAGCTCAATCTGCAGTCAGGCAAGCACATTTACCTGTTGGGAAGTTGGGAAGCCCCAGGAGTACCTTTGATATACAAAAAAGCAATACCTTTGTACTACAGTTTATTACTGTTCCAGTGTTTACCCAAGAAACAGAAACTCCTAATTTTTATTCTGATTTCAATAAGAACTTTTTTCCTTCAACACAGGCAAGTATTGTAGTTTTTGTTTCTTTGCCTGAAATGCACTTTTCATTTAAAAAAAACTGTTATGTAATAAAAAAGCACACTGTGGGTATCATTCTCTGCATTTCTTACAAGTGGGTAATATCGCCTAAATGAGAGAAATACGATAAGGGTAGTGCTCAATGAAAGAATGTATTTGGAAATAAATTAAGATGGCTGTCCTAACAAAACACAATCTGTAATTATTTGTTCAACATTATTTATATACATGTTTTCCCTCAATAAAGCCTTTGTCATATCGAGTGAGCTTCTCACAATTGAGCTTCTGTCTCTTCTCCAGATGTTCAGTTTCTTTGGCTGGCACCAGTACTTCCTGTTGTTCACTTAGGTACTCAGTCTGGTGATGCAGATCACAGATGCATCGAAAGTCAAATGACCTTAATACAATACTTCTATTTGTAAATCTTATGAAAGTTATTTTTCTTTTTTAGTCAAAATCTAAAATTGTGTAAATGTTTTGTGTGATCTGGTTAAGGAATCCAGTTCGTACAGTTTGTACATTGCCTTGCAATGTAAGTATTGAGATTCTTACACAGTTTTCACATGTTCTTGCTTTAATGCTGGTAGGTTACATATGACCAAATCAACACATTGAAGGCAAAAAATAAAGAGGTAAAAACAGTAGATCATTAGCATGAAAGAAAAAATTAAAATAAATACTTGTTGCATAGTGTACATATTCAAACTCTTTGATGCGTCAAACCTGAAAATTATTTAGGTATGCAAACTAAC